GTAGTTCCTTAATAAGTTATAATTTGTAGTAATGGTGAAATGATTCACAAACTTGAGTGTGCCTACTCTAGTTCTCATCTCCTTTGCAGTACAGCAGCTCTTTTAATGATAAATCTGTTGAAAACTTCCCGTGTCACTGCATCTCAAAGAACTTAAGATACCTTTTTCTATACCTGTAATATAATTTTAATTTACCAGCATGACTGAATTTTACTCAAAAATTATCAAGCAAGTACAGAGACCAAACAGATTTCAGTGAAGACGATGATTGTGTTTTGCCTAATATTTTAAGTGTTTATCTTGACCTTCCTGAAACACAGGTATAGTAACCCCCAATTTTACCAATAAGGCAACTTGACTCAGAGAAGTTAAATAACTTGCCCAAGACCACACAGCTAATGAGTGGTGGAGCCATGGTTTCAACCCAAGCTGTTGAGATCGAAACTATTATTTTGGTCATACAGAACTATTTTCTATATGATCCACACACAAAGCCCTCCAGGATTACCAACGATTTCCTCAGAAAACAAAGAATCATTGATACTGAGCTTACTGCTTTTCACTTGGGAATGAGGAAATAATCAATAATCAATTTCTCATTATTTACTCACTGGGTGCTGGCCAACATAAACAGCCCTGTCATATGCTCTAGGAAAAACAGAAACAAAGGCCAAAAAATCAATGTCTATAATTTCAAGAAGGTTTGTCTAATTGGGCAAAGAAGTCCAAGACACTTGTAATAAAGATTATGACTTTAATTATTTGAGAGCCCAGTTCCTGAAGTTCTTAATGACATTAAGTGAGTGGGTGTGCTAGGGACTTTCAGCGCTTCATCATCCTCAGAAAAGCCCTGTGGAGTGGGAACTACCATGATCACCGTTTTTTTTTTTAAGATGGAGTCTCACTTTGTCACCCAGACTGGAGTGTAGTGGCACTATCTCGGCTCGCTGCAACCTCTGCCTCCTGGGTTCAAGTGATTCTCCTGCTTCAGCCTCTTGAGTAGCTGGAATTACAGGCACCTGCCACCATGCTCAGCTACTTTTTGTATTTTTAGTAGAGACAGGGTTTTGCCATGTTGGCCAGGTTGGTATCAAACTCTGACCTCAGGTGATCCCCCTGCCTTCATCTCCCAGAGTGCTGGGGTTACAGATGTGAGCCACTGTGCCTGTCTTGATTACCACTTTTGAGATGAGGAAACTAAGGCTGAGACAACTACATTGTAAACGAGTAAGTTGTCCCCGGTTTTTCTGGCTGCTCAGTAGCTGAGCTGGGATTTGAATTTACCAGCATTTCATTGCTAATCTTCCTTTGGTTTTACTCAAGTATACAGTTTCTTGAGTCAATTGCAACTATTGAGTTGAACACAAAAGTATAATAATGGAGACATCTAAGTTGCCTCCCTTCTGTGGACTTTGCAAGAAACAAGGCATGCAATACAGTAATGCTACAAGGTAATATTTGCTGAGTACTTTACTGTGCTAGGAACTTTCAATGCAGTATTCTCACAGCAAGGCTTGAAATTGGCTATTATTACAACTCCTGTTTCCATGAGGCTTGACCTTTACTGTGAGGTTACTTGCAATACTGTCCATTCAACAGATGTGACAAGTAAGTGCTTCAGGTTTCCACAATCAGAAAGTGGATCTAGTACTCACACCCCAGTTTAGGCAAAGATATTTTTTTTGTTTTTTTTGAGATGGAGTCTTGCTCTGTCACCCAGGATAAAGTGCAGTGACATGATCTTGGCTCACTGCAACCTCTGCCTCCTGGATTCAACTAATTCGCCTGCCTCAGCCTCCCAAGTAGCTGGGATTACAGGCATCTGCCACCACGCCTGGGGCTAATTTCTTTATTTTTTTAGTAGAGATAGGGTTTCATCGTGTTGGCCAGACTGGTCTTGAACTCCTGGCTTCAAGTGATCCACCTGCCTCAGCCTCCCAAAGTGCTGGTATTACAGGCATGAGCCACCACGCCAGGCCTAAGCAGTTTTAAGCACAAAACTATATTACTATTGCATCTACTTGAAAGAGTTTTGCATTTTCCAGTGCAGAGAAACCAGCCCTTGCACTCCTACATGCTCTTCCACCCCACCCTCATTACACGTGTGGACACAGGTGTGTGAACTCACACATACACATGTTGCCATGGGTGGTCCCTTTGTATGAGGGCTGAAGTATAATGATCCATTCTGGGACTTGGTAAGATTTCCCAGAACAAAACAGAGGGCCTGAGCCTGTCTCAGCAATGATGGCAGTCATTTATGAGGCATTTCAAGATCTCTCATTAGTAATTCCCGACAGGATCCCTGTCCAGATGACTCACAAAGCAAAGTAGGGAGTGAAGGATGAGGACAAATGAAGAATGGTGAGTTCCTGGAAGTGGGATCAAAAATAGTCATTTTGAATTTAACCGTACTTCCCAAGGACAGGTACGTATTGAGGTCAATGAGGTTTCAAAGAAAGTCTTGTTTTTCTCTGCTATTCAATCTAAAAATTGCTGGGGATTTTCTCCCTTGAACATGAGAAAATATATCCCTGAAATAGGAATTTTCTTTTTGGCTACCATGTAACTAATGATTGCCCATACATTTAAATATCTATTTAGAATATATAAAGCAACATAGCACGGAACTCTTAGAAAAACCTAGCAAGTCTGAAATGATTTCCTTTTCTCCTTGTGCATGTCTGCCAAAAGAGAAGGAAAAGGAAGAATAAGTGGGAAAATGACTCAATGGCTGAAACAGCAATACAGCCATTCACTGTGTCCAAACACCGCACCAGAAGCAAGGCACTCAGTGGCGAACAACATAGAACTTCTGTTTAGAGCTATTCTTTTTTCTTCTTCTTCTTCTTCTTCTTTTTTAGACAGAGGCTCACTCTGCCGCCCAGGTTGGAGTGAAGTGGTGCAATCTCAGTTCACTGCAACCTCCAAAGTAGCTGGGATTACAGGCATGCACCACCATGGCTGGCTAATTTTTGTATCTTTAGTAGAAACAAGGTTTCACCATGTCAGCCAGGCTGGGTTCAAGCTCCTGACCCCAGGTAATCCACCCACCTCCATCTCCCAAAGTGCTGGGATTACAGGCGTGACTCGCCACACCCAGCCAGAGCTACTCTTTTGCAACACCGTCAGCACATAAAACATTTGCCTCGCACGTACTGACATAGTAGGCATTCTGGTCCCACCGACTTTCCTCTTGGTGATAATTCTCATTTGAGAAATACTTCCAATATTCTGAGACATTCTGGTTTAAGAATAAGTGACATAACATAGCATGATGTATAGGGGTGTATAATTTAGGGCTCAGCCTAGAATCAGAAAATATTGGGTCTGAATCCCACCTAAGCTAACTGTAAAAGTTAAAGAGTCAAGAGTTTTTTTGTTTGTCTTTGGTATTTTTTGTTTTTCATCTTATTTCACTTTATTGGCATTGGGCTGAGATGAGAACTAAATGGGAAAACTGACATAAAACGTCTAGTTCAGGGCCTGATTTATCATAAGCCCTAGAAAGATTTCATGAGAATATTATAAAACATATGGATGTACATCCAGTATGCCATCTATACTATATTACACATATTTAGTGTATATTGCATATAACATATAATCTAGTGTATGCTGCTGCTGCATCATATATAGCATATAATGTATATATAAATAGATACCATATGCATAAATTATAGTATGTATCAATAGCTATTATTTTTACTAACATAAACAGTCATTAACCCCTCCTGACAAATCAGAAATTATGGTGTTCAAGCTCAAGTCGGACTGCAAAAGATTTTTAAGAAACAAACTAGAGACTTACAAAAGAATTTACCAGGGAAGGATTTGCCAACACTCAGGGCAAAAAATGACTGAGACACGTGACTGAAAAGCAGGGCAAGGAAACAGAACGTCCCTTCGCTCCTCCTTGGCTGGTGGTAGTTTTGTATCGGATCAGGTTGAAAGAATTCAAACCACTTTAAAACAATCAACAAAAATCTCCAACTTTCCTTCCTGAATTAGCAAAGCAGCAGGTTCTCTTGCCGGCCCGGATGATTCTCGAAGTTGTGTATGTTTGTCACTGGACCTGCCTAAGACGCACCTTGGGGTGGGCCGGTGGGCATTAGGGACGGTGGTCTCGAGCTCTGTGTGCCCCTCCTTTTCACAAACAGAGACGGGCGGTGGACATAGGGAAAATGTGGCCCAGCCTGAATTCAAGCGTCGCTGGTACAAGCCACCCTCTCCAAGGCGCATTTCCTAACTTCCTAAAGAAGTAACAACAGCAGCTAATTTTTGGTGACTGCTGACTATGGACAGCGCTCCGTTGTTGCTGCTTTATGCGCGTTCATTCATTTAATCTGCAAAACAACCAGACATGAAACAGCAGAAAGGAAATTCTACAAACTTCCCTTCTCGCTCAAGTTAAGACCCAAAAGTCTCCTCTTCCGGCGCATTTTAGTAAGACTCAGATCCTCCCCACTCTGAGAGGCGCAGAAAGCCAAACTTCCTCCAAAACAGAACTTCAGTCCAGGCTGGGGGATCTGGCTCCCAGTAAGTGCGCGGGCTCTCCGGGCTCCTGGCAGACGCCGGCCGCTTTCCCGCGCCCGCACTCGGGGACCTCGCCGCCCGGCATCGCGATTGTGCAAGCGCCGGGCGGCAACCACTGTACCCACTGCCGGCTCCTGCCCGCAGTGGGAGGGCAGGGAGGCGCGTTTGGCGTACACCCGATGAACTCCGGGCTTCGCGTGCCTTCCCGGGGATTACCTCCGGGGTGGAGTCTGCGGTCCCCACCCCACCTCCCGCGCCCGGCGAGCAGCGAGCGCCCCGGTGACCCGAAGCGCGGATGCCCTCGCTCACCTCGCTGACTCCATCCTCCTTCCACCCCCTCCCCTGGGTCCCGCGTCCCTCGGAGCCTGGCCAGCCGGGGGCCACTCCGCCCTCCTCTGAGTGCTCATTGGCCACCCAGGGCATGCCCTGTCTCCATAAATGCAAGGTCCCCGGGCTCGAGAACGTGGAGAGGGACCGGAGGGAACGCGGCGCCAGCAGCATCTCACCTACCCTCCTTGACACCTCCTCCCCGCGGTTCCAGCGAGACCCTAGAAGTCAGACTTGCAGCTCAACAGGAGGACTCCCAGCTTTCCCTTTCCAAGAGGTCCCCAGTCCCCGGCCGCCCTCTTCCAGCCCCTACGGCCAGCGCCGGGAGGCACCAAGGCTCTGAGGCTGCCGCACGGTGCAGCGCCGAGCATCCTCGCCGAGGCCCTTTCCGCCCGCTCCATCACGCCAGCCGGCCCTCTTTGCCTCCCCTTCCCAGAATCGTTAAGCCCCCAGATCCCACCAGTCCCTCGTACCAACCTCGCCTCACCCCGTCCCCTCCCACGCCCCAGTGCCCCCCGCTGCCATGAGCTCCCCCATCAGAAAGAGCCGCTCGCTCGCCTCCTTCCTGCAGCGGCAGCGAAGTCCGAGGCAGCCCCCGAGACCCGTGACCTCCGCGGCGTGCACACCCCCTCGGCCACGAGAGGTGCCGGTCTGCCCGCTGACAGCTGGTGGCGAAACCCAGGACGCCGCCGCCCTGCCGGGCCCCACCAACTGGCCACTGCTGGGCAGCCTGCTGCAGATTCTCTGGAAAGGGGGGCTCAAGAAACAGCACGACACCCTGGTAAATACCTTTTCGCGCCGCCCCTGATTCCCTTTCTCCTCCCTGTTCCGCCCTCCCAGTGGCGCACCAAACCTTCCCCGAGGTGCGCGGCTCGGGCGCACGGTGCGCTTTGGCGTCTGGGGAGCCACGGTCCCCGGTCTCCGAGGAAGAAGGAGGCGGGAGGAGGGAGAAGCGCTTCTGGGACCGCGGAGGATGCGCGCTGACTCCTCGTGGTGCCGGGCCCGCTGCAGGCGGAGTACCACAAGAAGTACGGCAAGATTTTCCGCATGAAGCTGGGTTCCTTTGAGTCGGTGCACCTGGGCTCGCCGTGCCTGCTGGAAGCTCTGTACCGCACCGAGAGCGCGCACCCGCAGCGGCTGGAGATCAAACCATGGAAGGCCTATCGCGACTACCGCAAAGAAGGCTACGGGCTGCTGATTCTGTGAGTCCAAACCGAGGGACCTGGGCATGCGGCCGCGCCTGATGAACCTGACAGCCCCTGGAAATTGTGAAGAGGCAGGAGTTAGAGTTCCCTGGGGTTGGACTCTCCTTAGGCAGGGCGGATACCAAAGCCCCGCTTCGGGGCGACTGCAACCCTGAGCTCTTGTGTAGATTAGAGTCGATCCATTCAAAAGCCGTGCTGTGCACCGGACACCTGCGTTCCCTCTGGCAAGAGGGCAGGGCCACACCCTTCCATCAAAGAAACGCCAAAACACGGTTGTACAAACTGTGGTGTTCAGATCCCTGGGCAGGATGAGGTTGTGAAGTTAGCTTACCATGCAAGCATCTTATACAAACAAAATTAGCCCTTAAAACTCCCTGAAATGCCTTGCAAGCTCAAAAACCAGAATTTAACCTCTTTTGCTTTTTACAGTGACCTTTTCTGCAAAGGATTGGGGGTCATGCCTTATTTCTACTTGTAAAATTTGAATCAGGAGGGATGTCAAAGTTGTAGTTTAGGTAGATAAGTGCTACAATGCGATGTGATTCTTCTTTTTAGTTGTTAGCATTTAACAAATCGCAACCTTTATTTACGCCCCCCCCATCGTAATGCCTAATAGTTATATTTTCCAGGATATAATTACTGGAATTAAAAACCGTATTAATGCACGGTGCCTCACTCTGTGTGGTATGCTACGAGGCAGGTGCATACAACCGCATGATTGCAAGAGGTTTTTTACTACTCCAGTGAATCTCTGGCTGTATGTTATTTGGAGGTGACGGTAAAATTTTTATTCTGAGGTATTTTGTAAATATGAACCCCACACCAATGAGTTGAAAGAAGACAAGATTCTTCCCTCAAACATATCAGAGTTGCTGGTGATGGGATGCTCACATGCCCCCTTTCACTGCTAGGAATTAGCCTCTGGCCACCCACCTCCCACTCCCTGCAAAGACACCTCAAAATCCCTGAACCCAGATTATCTGGACTTCAATTTTCTGGTACAATCTTTGACTAGGAGGAAGGATGCCTTTTCATCCTATTGTCAAAAGATTGTCAAAATATGATCACTATTTTATCCCAAATACTCTAGTATTCATATTCTCTGGCTATTTCTCAGCATGATTCTCAGTGTTTATTTGATTGTATGGTTCTTGACGTTGCAGCTGGAGGTATTTCTGCATCTCCCTTCTTTGCTTTCCAATGTGCTCTAAATGTATTTCCGCTTCTCTCACAGGGAAGGTGAAGACTGGCAGCGGGTCCGGAGCGCCTTTCAAAAGAAGCTAATGAAACCAGTGGAAGTGATGAAGCTGGACGACAAAATCAACGAGGTTTGCAGGCTGCGGCCAGCTTTCCTGGGGCTCCTGGGGACATAGGGATATTAATAGAGCTTCAAGTCACAGCCACAAAGTACAGAGAAAAAAGAACGCAATTCAGATGATTTAAGGGCATCTCTTTCTCTCCATTCCTTCCTACAACCTCCTCCCCACCAATATTTCTCCCTCCTTCACACTCTGTCTTGTTTTGTTTTGTTTTGTTTTGTTTTTTCAGGCTGGAGTGCAGTGTTACAGTCTCAGCTCACTCAACCTCTGCCTCTCAGGTTGAAGCAATTCTCCTGCCTCAGCCTTCTGAGTAGTTGGGACTACAGGTACCCACCACCACACCCAGCTAATTTTTGTATTTTTAGTAGAGATGGGGTTCCACCATGTTGGTCAGGCTGGTCTCAAACTCCTGACCTCGTGATCTGCCTGCCTCTGCCTCCCAACGTACTGAGATTACTGGCGTGAGCCACCATGTCCAGCCCTTCAGCCTTTTTTAAAGTCATATCACAATGAGGGAGAAATGAGGAACAGAGACTTTGGTATTCTACAGCCTTGGATTTAAGCCCCAGCCTTCCACTCCCTGGCTATGAGAACTGGCGATATCACTCAACTTCCCTAAGCCTCAGTTTCCTCATCTACATAATGGGAGTAACGGTTCCCACCCCATGAGTTTGCTGTGAGAATTAAATGAGATAGCCTTGTAAAGTTCTTAAGTTGTGATACTTGAGCTGGGTTTTTCAGGAAGAGTGGGAATCTGAAAGCAAAGAAGGTGGAGGGAGGCGTGAAGGCAGAGAGCAGAGCCTTCTGAAAATAGGCGTGAAATGACATGGTGTGTTCAGAGAATCGGTCGTTTAGTATAGCTGATGTAAGGCTTTCTCTGAAATGATACTGGACAGATCTTAACAATATTTTTGAATTATACTAAAGCATTTGGACATTATCCCTTAGACAACATGGAGTCAAAGGGGGTTTTAAGCATATAGTAGTCTCTTTTTACCTCCGTTAACTTTGGATGTTTATTTTGAACTGGATGTGGCCCCAGATGGGATCATATAGGTGAAGGTTTGCAAACTCAGAAGCTTCCAGGGGCCACCTGGCTAATATAAAATAATAAGGCAGACCCAGTGAAAATTTTAGGAAACATGACAGTGAATGGCCCTCCTAGGAGGGACAGCAGCCCCAGTGCCAGCAAAGGGTGGCCACGTAGGAATGCAGACCTCGCGTCGCCAAGTTCTGTAATTGTTATTTACATTTTTAACTAGTAGTGGCAAATCCATACATTCATATGAAACCTCTTGTGTTTTTTTTTTTATGGTAACAAATTCAAAGTACTTTTACATGTACTATGTGGGCAAACTAAACATGCAAACTAAATCCACATGTGTGGACTTTATGATCAGACCAGCTCTTGGTAGGGTCCAGGATGGCAACTTATCAGCTCTTTGTCCACAAGTGAGCAACTTGGCCTCTTTAAGCCTCAGCTTTCTCATCTATTACATGGGAAATGACTAATGACAGTACCTACTACCTCATGGCGTTGCTGGGAGGATCAGCCAATACACTTTGTACAGTGTTGGGAACCACGTGGACCTCATTAAATGTGAGGCATTAGTAATTGAAAACTGGTTTATGAAACTGGCATCCAGAGGTCTTATGTGACTGTCCCAAGGTCATAGACTACTCAGGGAAGGAGCTGCGTCCAGAATTGGTAGATCTACTGGCTCCAAATTCAATATGCTTAACACAACCACCAACCAATAAAGAGACATTTGCTTGTACAGATGTGGAAGGGCATCTCAGGATAGCTGCCGATTCACAGTCCTTGAGAGGCTGGGCTAACAGGGACATTTGGCTAATTCCTTTGTGGTTTATTCCCCCATTCTGATTAGGGGAAAAAATGTTTTTCTTTTCTTAAATTGCCAGAATTATTTTTAGATTAAAAGCTGAAACGTAAGCTTCAGGGTGGCTTCAGGAAAAGCTCAGGAAATAACCCAGGACAAGGTCCTTAGGGGATAAGGTGGGTTCCCAGGGAGAGTATATAATTAGCATGACTTCAGGATGAATAACATGATGGCGGGTGAATATACCACATAGCAAGGCCTGAAGTTAGCTCAGTGAGCTTTGAACCTTTGTTTTCCTTCAACATCTTTAAAACGTGTCTCTTGTGGTTGTTTCCTTTGAAGGTCTTGGCTGATTTTATGGGCAGAATAGATGAGCTCTGTGATGAAAAAGGCCACATTGAAGACTTGTACGGTGAACTGAACAAATGGTCACTTGAAAGTGAGTTGCCACTACAGTCTTGCTCATTGATTTTGCAGGGGATTTTGAGAGTGAAGCATGGCTCTGCTGGCAACCCTTCTGTAATCATGCATTATTGCTGCCTAGGGAAAGGCCATAGCAGCCCTTCTCATGCTTCTTTTATGTGCTTTCGTTATGCCTTGAACTATGGATTGTTTATGAAGTCATACAACAAACATTTGTTGAACACTGGCTGTGTGTCTGGCACTGAGCTAGGTAGCAGGGGTACAATGAGGAACGAAACAGATAACCTCCCTGCCCTTGAGTAGCTTATATGCTAGACAAGATGATAGTCAACAAGTAAACACATTTTAAAACATACCCTTCCAAGGAGTAAAGGAAAAGAGAAAAGGAGTTAAGAGGCATGAAAGCCAGGTACGGTGGCTCATGCCTGTAGTCACAGGGCTTTGGGAGGCTGAGGTGGGCAGATGACTTGAGGCCAGCCCAGGAATCTGAGCCCAGCTTAGGGAACACAGCAAAACCTTGTCTCCACAAAAAATACAAAAATGAGCTGGGTGTGGTGGCACATGCCTATAGTCCCAGCTACTCGGGAGGCTGGGGTGGCAGGATTGCTTGACCCTGGGAAGTTGAAGCAGAAGTGAAGGTGTGATTGTGCCACTGCATTCCAGTCTGGGTGATGGACTGAGACCCCAGAGAGAGAGAAAGAGAGAGAGAGAGAGAGAGAGAGAGAGAGAGAGAGAGAGAGAGAGAGAAGGGAGGGAGGGAGGGAGGGAGGAGAGAGGAAAAAGGAGGAAGGGAGGGACAGAAGGAAGGAAGGGAGGGAGGGAGGGAGGGAGGAGACAGGAAGGAAGGAAGGAAGGAAGGAAAGAAAGAAAGAAAAAGAAAAAGAAAGCGAGCATGAAAGAGGTGCAAATCCTTTTTAGTTAAGGAGGCATTTGAGGTAAGTCCTAAAGAAAGGGAAAGAGCAAATCACAAGGGCTCCTGTAGAAGGCTGTTCCAGGCATTCCAGGCAGCAGAGACAGCAGGTGCAAATGCCGGGAGGTGGAAGCACGCGCGCAGTGTCTGAGGAACTGCAAGGTGCTGCTGTGAGTGGATCTCGATGAACAAGCTGGGACGAAGGGGAGGTGTGAAAGAAGATGAGGTCAGAAAGAAGGCAGGTATCTGATGGGTCCCGGCAAGACTTTGCCCCTCGTCTGATTCAGATGGGGCAAGCAAGGGAGCGAGGGCATGACCGCTTTCTTCAAGGATCACTCTGGAAAAGCTCACTGCCTGTGGGGGTGCAGGCAGGAGGGCAGTCAACCATGATGAGGCGGGAGAGCACCTGGCTGAGGACATTCAGGGCTGTGGGAGAGGGCTGCCTAAGCCAGACATGGGCAGGGGTCGCTTCACCGAGATGGGGCCTCTCAGCTCAGACCTGATGGTTCAGTAGGAGCTCACCAGGTGAAAAGGGAAGAAGGAGAGTGTCTGCAGAAGAAGTTCAGAATGAATGAAGCAAATCCTGTAAGACAGGGGTGTGGGAGGGGACAGAGGCTGGGAGAGGGCTGGCAGCCAGCTCATGGAGGGCTGCCTGGGAGGGAGTTTGCATTTGAGCCTGGAAGTAACCGGGAGCTGTGGGAGTGTTTTTAGCAGCAGTATGATATGGGCAGATTTGCTGGGAGGATCCCTGTGGCTGCTGATGGGAGGGATAGAAGGAAAACCTGAAACACTTCCATAAATTCAAGGTCAGAATCACTGCCATAAATAGATTAATATAAAAATAAGTAACTTTCTTTTTATTAATTATTTGAGACAGAGTCTCACTCTGACCCCAGGCTGGAGTGCAGTGACATGATCTCGGCTTACTGTAATCTCCACCTCCTGGGTTCACGCGATTCTCCTGCCTCAGCCTCCAGAGCAGCTGGGACTACAGGCACATGTTACCATGCCTGGCTAATGTTATTTTATTTTATTTTTCTTAAAGACAGGGTTCTGTCATATTGCCCAGCCTGTTCTCAAACTCCTGGGCTCAAGCAATCTGCCTGCCCCAGCCTCCTAAAGAGCTAAGATTACAGGTGTGAGCCACCATCCTCCACCCTGTGTCCTCTTTAAAAAAAAAAAAAAAAAAAAGTTTACAGGAGATAATTTTTAGGACAATGGGGAACATTTTAAAATGGGACACAGTAGATTTTTTTTGAAATGGCCGCTAATGTTCTTAAAGATGTTAATGACACTGTTTATGTAGGAGAATGCTTTATTCTTGGGACATTACTGCTAAAGTATCTAATGGTGAAGTGTCCTGAGAGCTCAAAATTATTTCCAAATGGTTCGGCACACACAGTCACATATACACTTGTATGCACACACACACACAAAGGGAAGGAAATGGCCGCAAAATGTTGATGAGTTCAGAGGATACAGGTTGTCACGTTACCACTCCCTCAGGTTTTCTGTAGATACAAAGTTTTGAAACGAAGAGTTGAGAATTTTATTTTTAAAAGGTTTCTTCTAAATAAAATGATGAAATGGAAGAAAAAAACCCATATGAAGTGCTAGCCCAGTACCTGGCATGTAATAGGTGTTTGGAACATAATTATTCCCTTCCCTTTTCCTCTGGTGAATGGCTTCTAAACGATTATGTCCGGCAATAGAATCCAGTAAGTGACTCTAAAAACCCAGCTGAGTTTCAGGCATAGCGCAGGCCTGACCCAGCAGGGCCCTTGCTAGGGTCCCTGGATCTCTCCTATGTGACTGCTATGACTCAGCACAGTGGACCTCTGAGCAGGACGTTCTAAGGTGATGAGTCATTGGACCTGGAGATCTTTTCCAGAAAAAGGGGAGAGTGATTGTGCCCCCTTTCTCTCAGACCCTTTGCTTTTTCTTGGTATTCTTGGACTATTGCCTTTTCTCAGAAAATCCCGCGCTTTTAAGAGGCATAGAACTGTCTTTAACCGTCAGCTAAACACAGACTCCAGCATTGCTGTGACTGTGTAAAGTGATGATTATTTTAAATAACAGGTATCTGCCTCGTGTTGTATGAGAAGAGATTTGGGCTTCTCCAGAAGAATACGGGGGATGAAGCTGTGAACTTCATCATGGCCATCAAAACAGTAAGCAGCCTCTTTAGGAGAGCAGTTTTCTTGACTGATGTTTTACAGATTTATTTTTACAGAACTTCAGTGTTTCCCAAAAAATGGCATACACACATATTTTATTTCAATAGTTAAGTGTTCATTTTATGTGCATTATCTATGTTCGTGTATTTATGTACATATATGCAGCTGTCTCCAACCTTTCTGGCACCAGGGACCAGTCTTATGGAAGACAATTTTTTTATGGATTAATGTAGAATCAGTGGAAGCCCTAGCTAGTTTTCTTGCAATGAGAAGGTCCCATCTGGGGGTGAGGGGAGACAGTGACAGATCATCAGGCATTAGATTCTCATAAGAAGAATCTACCTAGATCCCTTGCATGGGCAGCCACAACAGGGTTTGCACTCCTGCAACAATCTAACACAGCCATTGAGCTGGCAGGAGGCAGAGCTCAGGTGGTAACCCTTGCTGGCCCACTGATCACCTCCTGCTGCATGGCCCAATTCCTAGCAGGCCGCTGGCCAGTACTGGTTCATGGCCTGGGGGTTGGAAAGCCCTGCGTATATGCGCGTAACATAAAGAAACACATTAAGTCCATTATTTCTTTGTTAAGGCATGGTTAAAATCACTATTTTAATTAAAAATCAGTTGATTAAAAATACATTTTAAAAAGAGCCCGAAATTTTTCAGATTTTACCTTTTTGAATAGTTTGAGTGATGTGTAGATAGGATAAACGCTGTGAAATTGGTTTGAAAATCACTGAGGTTTGGAAATTATTAGAAATTGAAGTGAGTATGAAAGTTATAGTTTTCCCTCTTTTTTTTTTTTTACAATTAGGTGATAAGATTACAATTTTAATCCAACACAACCAGTGGGAAATCATCCCCCATATTACTTTCCATATTGAAAGGAGGTGGCAACGGGGTATGGACATTGCTTCCAGGACCACTGCAGAGAGAGCCAGGGGCGTCCCTGTAATTCCAGCCTTTCAAAAAGTGCAGGGTGCTGTGGTTTAGAACGCCCCTCTTCCCGAATGTAAGTTGTCTCTGGGAGACGGAGAATCCAGAATAAAAAAGGGTTTGCATTTCTCTCAGATGATGAGCACGTTTGGGAGAATGATGGTCACTCCAGTCGAGCTGCACAAGAGCCTCAACACCAAGGTCTGGCAGGACCACACACTGGCCTGGGACACCATTTTCAAATCAGGTAAAGGGCCGCCCTTCACATCCAGCCAGAAGCAGCCCAGCACCCCTGTGTCTGCAGCTGCAGAGAGAAGGTCTGGAGGGACTTCCTGGACCTCATCACCCCGTTTAGGTTTTGCAAACACATGTGTTTTGGGGATTGCCTTTGCATACATAGATTCTAAGTAACACGCTTTCTGTAGTCTTCTTTGGGAATTAAGAGTGGTTAAAAGTAAAATCTGGCCAGACGCAGTGGCTCGCTGCTGTCACCTCAACACGTTGGGAAGCCGAGGCGAGCGGATCACCTGAGACCAGGAGTTTGAGATCAGCCTGGCCAACTTGGTGAAACCCAGTCTCTACTCAAAATACAACAATTAGCTGGGCGTGGTGGCAGGCGCCTGTAATCCTAACTACTCAGGAGGCTGAGACAGGAGAATTGCTTGAACCTGGGAGGTGGAGGTTGCAGTGAGCCAAGACTGCGACACTGCACTCCAACTTGGGACACAGAGTAAGACACTGTCTTTAAAAAAAAAAAAAAAGTAAAATCTATGGAGTCAGGGATCAGCTGGGTTCGAGTCGCTCTCTATCACTGGTTGTTGGGGTGGCCTGGCCAAATGTGCTATCACCTTTTCATCCTCAGTTACCTTGTCTATAAAATGGACTAATAATAACTAATAATAAAAAGAAGAGCACCTACCTCAATGTAACTGTTTCTGGGTCTAGTACAGATTATACAGTATCTCATTGGCCAGAGCTATTTCTGCTACATGATGAAGAAGATTCGATGCTAGGCATTATTCACTCATACATTATTTAATCCTCACAACATGCCTGTAAGGTAGGTCCTTTTATTAGCCCTGAGAGAGGTACCCGAGACACAGAGAAGTTAGCAAACGTTCCCAAGATTGCATGCTAGGTGATGGCAAAGCTAAGGTTTGAAGCCAGACGGAGGGGTTCCAGGACTCGAACTCTGACTGCTGTGCCATATCTGAACACCATTATTATTACCATTTTCATTATTCTTATGAGCCTGGTGGTTGTTAGCTTCCAGGCGAGGGAAGGCAGGGTATGGTGGCGCATGCCTGTGATCCCAGCTACTTGGGAGGCTGGGGCAGAAGAATCACTTAAACCCGGGAGGCAGAGGTTGCAGTGAGCCGAGATCGTGCCACTGCACTCCAGCGTGGCAACAGAGCCAGACTCCATCTCAAAATAAAATAAAAATTAGGGAGATACACGCCTAGATTTTGCATTATAAAGATTAGAAATTTTTACCATTGTCAAGATACATGGGCACCGTCCTTGTGTGTATGCAGGTGGGGTGTGTGTGCTTAGTAATATCTGGGTCCAAGTCGGATTCTGAAAATGAACCTTAATCCTACCTTCTTTTATGCTTATTTCTCCCAAGAGCTAAACTGTTACTACTCAAAAGTATGACCTGCAGCCCAATGGCATCAGCCTCGCCTAGGAGCTTGTTAGAAATGCAGAGTTCCAGGCCCACCTGAGGCCTGATTCAGATTCTGCATTTTGGGAAGATGCCCAGGTTATTCCTATACACATTAAAGTATAAGACGTCTTGCTCATGTGGGTATTGAAACATCCTTGCCGGCTTAACAAGAAGCCAATAATTAGTGTGTGTCACAAATCGTCAGTGTTCCTGAAAAGACTATTTAGATATTGTCAGAAGGATTTGGGGCTGAAGTTTTCTTCTGTGATTTTCCTCATCCTAATTTTCAACTGACTTCCTCTCTTTCTTCTCTGCTCTACTAGTCAAATCTTGTATCGACAACCAGTTAGAGAAGTATTCTCAGCAGCCTAGTGCAGATCTCCTTTGTGACATTTATCACCAGAATCAGCTTTCGAAGAAAGAATTGTATGCTGCTGTCACAGAGCTCCAGCTGGCTGCGGTGGAAACGGTAAGGGTGGGCTGGATTTGAACAGTCTGTACAATTTTTAGATGACAAATTTTAAATAGTAATTCACCTCATTCATTTCACCGGGATTCACTGAGCACCAACTTCACAGAAACGAAACTCTCATACTAGATGCCGCTGTGCCTCAATGCACAGCCTTTTGTCCTTAAACCTAGTGTAGGAGGAGACTTCACATGCCCCAGTGACAAACATCCAGAGTCAGATGTAATCAGTGCCGTGATGTACATGCAAACTGCTATGGGAATTCAGGAGCAGCAAAGTTCCATGCCCTGGCAAGATACCAAATGCAGATTTTTCAAAACTCGATGTATTTTGTTCAGTTGCACACATTATCCCAAAGTGCCTAACTTTGGCTGTTACTGTAAAAAGAAAATGGCATACTCTCTTTCAAGCCAATAATATTTTTATCTGCTTAGAATTGTAAAGAAAGTCTCAAAGAGTCTGGGACAAGTGGGTTTTAACTGAAGGGAAACAGCGCATTTTAAAAACCCAAGTTCTGTCTCTGATATGGCCAATACTCCGTAGGAGATAGTAGATAGTGGATACTAAGCGCAGACCAACCCCAAACAAATCCTTCCCTAGGCATTCAGGTAGGTTTAATTGACTTAGATACTTCTTCCAGCTATGATGGAAGTGATCCACGTGAATACTCCTCCTAAGTCAAGATTTCATGCACCTTAAAGTCTCTAAGCAAAATGTAAAGCAGTCATTTATTTTCCATGCGTTTCCCCTTCTGTGCTGTTTCTCACCTGAAGAAAAGGGAGGGTTTTCTCTATCAGAACGTAGCGAGTTTCTCATTCCTCCTCATGCTCCAGGAAGTGGTTGAAAGTAGAAATCCATCCTCGCTCACTTTCCTATTGAATTACTTACCCTGGGAGGTTCCTTACAGTGTCGAAAGTAAAGTGTACCCGTTATTCTTTCATTTTTTTTCAACTGGAATTCACCTCCCTGAGGGCTGAGGGCAAGGCTTAGGGTTGTCCACTGCTGTGTTTCCAGGACATAGAACAGTACTTGGCATATAGCAGTGGCTAATAGATTCTTGTTGAATAAATGAAGGAATTCAGGAACTATTGAGCACCTACTGTATGCCTGGGACTGTTCCAGGTTCTTGAGAGACCACCATGAATCAGAGACAAGGGTTTCCACTCTCACGGAACTTGTATGCAGGTGGGGAAGACAGACAGTAGACATGTGAACAAACAAATGTGGTCACTTTAGACAGTGGTATGGATTGTGGAGGACACCATCAGGGTGGCATAATAGAAAGAGATGGAGATGATTGGAGGAGACCCCTCTCTGAGAAAGCAGTATGTACTGGAGCCGACTCTGGAATAATGAGAAGGAGCCAGCCATGGAAGGACCTGGTGGGAGAGTACTGCAGGTAGAGAAAACGGCCCATGCAAAGGCCCTGGGGCAGAAAGAGGGATGGAGCTAGAGAACAGGCATATGTGGTAAGAGCTGAGACTGAAGAAGTAGATGGGCCTTGTGAGCCTGGGTAAGGCATTAGGATTTGATTGCACCTGTGATGGGAAGCTCTTGCAGGGTTTTAAGCAAGGGAATCACCTAATCATTTATGTTTTTAAAAGTGGGCTCTGGCTGGTGGGTAAAGAATGGACTTAGCAGAGAGAATAGATAACAGCAGACCAGTTCATGAGCTCGGTCTGTTCCACGGAGGTCAATCGAGGATAGTGTGTGCCTCTGAGGTTTCCCAGGCCACTTCCCCTGGAATCGGCTGCTCTAGCTCAGCCCCTGCAGCTTTCCGTACAGGCTCGGACTGTCTTACATGGCTTTGGTAAAAGTGACAGTGATCTGCCTTTTGGAAACTCTGTTTGGTACTTGCGGTGAGGGACTCACTGATATGGTTAAATCCGTTTCTTTTTTGGTCCTGGCTATTCTGAAAGTCGCATTTGGAAAATCAGACCCGTTTGCAAGTGTATCTAATTTGATGGCTACACCCTCTTCCTGTTTTGTAAATTAGACTCTTGTAATAATGCAGTCTACAGTTTATTTGCAGCCGAGGCTGCCAGTTCGCTGACATGAAGAAGGCTGCCTGGGAGGCATCTTCTTCCAAAAATAATAAATAACCATCATCTCTGAATGGTCTTGCACTTTGCTCCTCTGTGAGTGGCACATGGCACTTAGCAACAGCGCCTTCATGTCTGTGAGTAAGGACACAATGATCATTTTTAGGTCATATTTGGCTTAAATTAGCAAAGAAAGGCCTAAAAAATAAATTATATGACTATTAGTGGTGAATATCATTAGGCCTAAAGCTACACTGGCTGTTTCCACCAATATGTTTTCTCTAAATGCCTTTGGAGAGAAAATAAAAGATGCCACTTCAAGGGGCGTGGGCCTTTGTCAGAAACTGCAGCTGCTTCCTTGAAGTACTCAGCTCAATGCTCCAATTTCTTATTTTGGCGTTGGCACCCTCGCATGAGGGCTCTTTACATGTGGCTGAAACCCTGAGCACAGATAGTGCCTTTTTATTTTGGTGGTAACTTTTTAGGGTACGGCCAAAAACTTTTAAACTCCAGAAATGCCATTTCTTGTCCATTTGCACTATACCATTTTCTTCAGGGCTCTCATTAGCAACAGCCTGAGGATCACCATCCCGCTCTGTTTACTCTGTTTTTACATTAATGTTTTTTATCTCAAGCAATTTTTAATTAAATTTTTATTTTAAAATCATCGTAGATTCACATTCAGTTCTCAGAAAAAAATAGAGAGGGATCCCTTGTATCCATTTCCCAGTTTTCCCTCATGGTAACGTCCTGTCTAACAAGAAAACATTATCACAACCCTAAAATTGGCATTGATTTAACCCACTAATATTCTCATTTCACCAGTTTTACATGTACTCATTTGGGTTCAAGCAAGTATTGTGTTAAACTGTATGTTAGGCCGGGTGTGGTGGCTCAGGCCTATAAACCCAGCACTTTGGGAGGCCAAGGCAGGTGGATCACCTAAGGTCAGGAGTTCAAGACCAGCCTGGCCAACATGGCGAAACCCGGTCTCTACTAAAAAATACAAATATTAGCCAAGTGTGGTGATGGGTGCCTGTAATCCCAGCTACTCAGGATGCTGAGGCAAGAGACTTGCTTGAACCCAGGAGGCAGAGGTTGCAGTGAGCCAAGATGGCACCACTGCACTCCAGCCTGGGCACCAGAGCGAGACTCCATCTCAAACAAACAACCAAACAAAACTGTATTTTAAATGTTCTAAAGCAGCTGATTAAAAGATTATACTTTTATTTCCTCAGTAAATAATTTAAAATATATCCTTAATTGATATGTTCTATAAAATAAACCTGCTTTTTCATATATTGGATTTATCTAAAGGCAAAGCAATGGGATGCATGAAAAAAGCTTCACTAATAATAGATTTGTAGAACAAGGTAGTAGGCATCATCGCATCGCCCTTTCTTCAGCTAATAGTGGCGTAACGCAGTTATTTACAAAAACTCAAGTTTATGTCCATTCGCCTTGCAGACAGCAAACAGCCTAATGTGGATTCTCTACAATTTATCCCGTAATCCCCAAGTGCAACAAAAGCTTCTTAAAGAAATTCAAAGAGTATTACCTGAGAATCAGGTGCCACGGGCAGAAGCTCTGAGGAATATGCCGTATTTAAAAGCCTGTCTCAAAGAATCTATGAGGTAAGAGCATCTCTGAGCCAATATGAATGTGTTAGTACGCTGTTGTTTAAATGCGACTCGTGGGCAGCTTCCTGTAGCTAATTAGAAACATTTATCACACTGCAAAAAGTCTTTGGAGCCATATTTCTTTTCTGGCACTCATTTTCTAAATCATTTGGGCAAATTCTATTAGATCTTGGAAAGTTGGTGCCCTCTCCCTTAATTCAGTAATCCTGCTACTCTAATGAATGCTGTAAGCACTAATTAATTGGGGCATGATTGATGGCTATGAGATGAAAGCTCACAAAAGAGCCATATTATTATATAATAGGACCTAGAGACAGCTTTGTTTTTGAGCCTCTGGTATGAAACATTTTTTGGAATATTTTTCTTAGGCCCTTTTGGGAAAACACAACTCACAACATGTTAGGATTAGAAGGAAACTGTCAACTTTGGGAAGAGTAGAGAGGAGAAACTTTGAACAAACATCAGGCTACGAGGGCCAGCATAGAAACATACACATTGAAGTCTGGAGTGACGTATGAAGAAAACCAACGTTAACAGCTACTAAACAGCCTTGCACTGGGTTTTAACTAACTCAGTAAGATGAGAGGAACAAGAGATGTGAATCTTGGGAAGAAGGAGACAACTTCTTTAGGAAGAGCTGTGGTCATGTTGCCTTTTCGAGTATGCACTTGGGCAGCACCTAATCCCATCTGCATTCCCACTGACACTTCAGTGCTCACCTTTACATCTCTGATTTTATCTTCTCAGGCTTACCCCGACTGTACCATTTACAACTCGGACTCTTGACAAGGCAACAGTTCTGGGCGAATATGCTTTACCCAAAGGAGTAAGTAGAATGTGTATATTCTACACCTTACAAAACCTCGAAAGATACACTTTGCAAATACTCATCAGCTCCCCCTAGACTTTGTACTGGAAAACATTCATTTTTGGAAACACAGAGATGGTAGTGAATAGTTGACATATTGCATAGTATAGAATTAGAATTAATGGCTACGGAGACAGAGAGCTAGCTTCAGTTTTACCTTTGCCTGGCTTATCTTGAGTGAGTTATGCAATCTCTGTGAACCTCGACTTCTTTATCTGTAAAATGAGTTTAATAACAATCTACCACACGGGGTCGTTGTGGGTGTGATCTACAATTTTAAAGCCCTTTACCTATTTATTGCCTGGTGCATTTTAAGCCCTCTGTGCATGTTGCCAATTGTCATTATCATAAATTTGTCGATTTGGCTTTTCATTTGTAAGGTGACAACTTTTGTAAACTTTGCCCTTTCAAAGGTCTCTTCTGGTTATTTTAAATGCTATGTGTGTCTGTATGTTTTTAAGACAGTGCTGATGCTGAATACCCAGGTGTTGGGATCCAGTGAAGACAATTTTGAAGATTCAAGTCAGTTTAGACCCGAACGTTGGCTTCAGGAGAAGGAAAAAATCAGTCCTTTTGCTCATCTCCCATTTGGCATTGGAAAAAGAATGTGCATTGGTCGCCGATTAGCTGAGCTTCAACTGCACCTGGCTCTTTGTTGGGTAAAACCTTGACCCGTTTCTGCAATTATGTTCTGTGCTATTTCGTAAGGCAGAAGACGAGAGGGATGATTCTGTTTTTGTGTGCATGTGCGTTACAGATTGTCCGCAAATACGACATCCTGGCCACAGACAACGAGCCTGTTGAGATGCTCCACTTAGGCACGCTGGTGCCCAGCCGGGAGCTCCCCATCGTGTTCTGCCAGCGATAAGATGCCCCAGGTGAGCATCCAGGGGGTCCATTATCCTCTGCAAGCTACTGACAATGACGAGGGACGAGCCATGCTCAGAAGTCAGCCAGACTGGGCTTTGAATCCCTGCTCACTTCTAACTTGCTGAGTGACCTTGAGAAGTTCCCTAATCTCTCTGCTTTCTTTTTTTATTTGTAAAATGAGGACCCAAAGAGAGCGTATCACAAAAAAATAATATGAACCCCAAATACCTATCCCTGAGCCTGGCGTCAATTAAATGTTTAGTAAATGCTAACAGCTGTTCATGTTTTTTGCATGCAAATAGCAAACGTTGGCAAACTTTTTCTGTAAAGGGCCAATTGGTGAATATTTTAGGTTTTGTGGACCGTACCGTCTTTGTCACATCCTCTTATTACTACCTCGGAGCATGAAAGGGGCCACAGATAATCTGTAATTAATGAGTGGGCTGATGTCCTAGTTTTCTATTGCTGCCACAGCAAATTACTAAAACTTAGTGAGTTAAACAGCACACATCTATTCTCTTACAGTTCTATAGATCAGAAGTCTGACAGGGCTCCTCCAGGCTAAAATTATAGTGTTGGCAGGGCTCTGTCTGGAGGCTCTAGAGGAGAATCTGTTCCCTTGCTAGTTTGGGTTGTTGGCAGAATTTAGTTCTTCATAGTTACAGGACTGTAGTCTTCATTTTATTGCTGCTGTCAGCTGAAGGCTATACTCAACTTTTAGAGATTTCCCATATTCCTTGGCTCGTGAAAACTTTCCCATCTCAAAGCCAGTAACAATGGTCAGTTGAGTCCCTCTCACACTTTGAGTCTCTCTTCTTCTTACGTTGCTTCTGTCTGACACTATCCAGGATCATGTCTCCCGTCTCAAAGTTCATAATTTTAATTGCATCTGCAAAAGTCAGTTTTTCACATAAGGTAGCATATTCATGTGTTCCAGGGATTAGGGCATTGACATTTTAGGAGGACCGTTATTCTGCCTACAAAAACTGTTCTGATAAACTTTATTAAAAACAAGCAGTGGGATGTATTTAGCACTAGGGTCTAGGTTTGTGTTATGGCAGGACATGTAATGTAAATGTATATATTTGTCAGCCTGCATTGAATATGTATTTTTTCTGCTGTCTGCCATTCAATACTTTTTCTGACAATAGAGGAGTTATGTTCCCTCTAAGACTTTTGCCATATCCATATACCAACCAGCTGCTATTTATTTCAATACCACTGAGTTATTTCCTTTAAATTAACATAAGCCTAATTGTATACATTAGCCTTGTCCTGAGCAATAATTTCCTTAATGAAATTAAGAATAAGTCTAGTAATAGTCTCCTTATATGCATTAAAATGAATTCAAAAGTGATCAAAAGTTTAAGAAAGCTCCAATAATCATTTTATGTGGAAATATGACATTTGTAACATATGGCTTTATAGAGTGACATGTCCGTGTTTAAAACCAGATTCTATCATTTTTGTTCTTTGATCAGCATCTCCTAGGATTTTCCTAGAAGAAATTGCTCTTTGTCAATGGCAAGTTAAGGAACATTTGCTGATTGGTGGATTATTTAGAGAAACTTACAATTACAGATGAAATTTCTGAACAAGGCCCAAATGAATATATTATTACTCCTCCGCAGAGTGTCTGATGCTAATTTGAAATGTGTCAAATTCTGAGCATCCCAACCAACAGAACTGAATCAAGTAGAATAAGGAAAGTAGCCTCACTTGTGAGAACCCCAGTCTTCAGCAAAGACACAGCATGTGGACCACAGCAAGCCACACCTGTGGCAAGAGCCCAGGGCAATTTTAGTTTTAGCATATTTTTTTGGCTGATAATTTGTCTTCTTTAAGTATACTTCTTTGATATATAATTAGGGTGCACCTTTTTTTTCAGATTTTTTTTTTTAACGAAGACCAAAGCAGCCATTTTGACATTTCTGCAGGAATGGTGCTTACGGCTTCTACATTACGGGAAAGCGAACTTCAAACACCCACAGCATACAACAGCTTACAAAGAACAGTTAAGCCCAGGTGTTGACACGTTTTCTTCTGCAAAATTGTTCCAGAAGCTGTACTGTCTTTCTAGATGGTGGTATTTGCTAAGATCACATCCAACTCAGGGAAGCAGACTGAGGGCTGAGATCCAAGGCATTCTACAGGGTTCACTGCTGGTTTACCCTTCACAGCACCATCTTCAGGTGCTTACAATGACCTGGGAGCCTGTTCTCTCTTGCATCTTCCATGACATGAAAGGGAGGCTGGCACCTGTCAGTCACATAGAGTTACTAACCGTTTCAGCCCCTGCCTACCACATTCACTGTTGGAATCTTTAATAAGTTTACATTTGACAGTGAAAGATGTACAACAGTTCAATTTTCTGGGGCTGGGAGTAACACTGACAATCCATTTACTGTAGCTCTATTTAATGTACTACTTAGGGAAATACCCGCTTGATAATGTAAGCCAAGCTAAATGATGGTTAAAGTTACCAGGCCTCCCATGAAGTTATATTCTTCCTGCATTGCAATAAAAATATTATTGGGAAATTAGAGGACACCTCTATTTTTAAAAGGACTTTAATGAAGTCAAACATCTTGTAAGACGAGTGACTTACTGTGGCATTACTTTGTTAAAGGACCTTAAAATTATTTTCTTAATGTAGTTCCTTTATGACATTGAAGTATGGATGAAGCAATAGTTGTCAAATTGAGTTTGTGCATATGAAGCACAGACATGCGTGTGTGTGTATCTGTGTATCTGGGTGTGCCTGTGTGTATGTGTGTTCTACTAGCAATTTGCCTCAGTCATTTTTTTTTAACATTTGCAGTACTTGATTTAGGATCTGTGGTGCAGAGCAATGTTTCAAAGTTTAGTCACAGCTTAAAAATATTCAGTGTGATTTTAATATTATAAAACGAGTTCCCATGCCTTAATTTTTCTGTCTATTCAATGGGACAATTGTAAAGCATGCAAAAGCTAGAGATTTGTTATATATTTGTTTTGTAATTTGAACTCCTAGGAAAAATATGATTTCAAAAATGTAAAATGCATAGAAATGCATGCAATATTTATGACTTAAAAATTGGGTTTACAGATGGTTTATTTGTGCATATTTTTACTACTGCTTTTCCTAAATGTATACTATATATAATTCTGTATATTTGATAAAGATTCCCCTTCCTAGGTTATATTTTTAGACTATTTCAGAAATATACACTTATGTCTTTATATTTTAATAAATATGTACATATCTAGGTATATGCTTTCTCTCTGCTGTGAAATTTTTAGAATTATAGATTTACATGTCTTGTCAGATTTCATCTGTATACCTTCAAATTCTCTGAAAGAATAAAAGTTTTTAAAACATTTGAGAGACTTCCCCTCTTTATTGCTTTTGTTACAATAAAATAAAAACAAATTCAAACTTCATGTTACTAGTAAATTTTCTCATGTGGTCTACAAGCCCTATATTACAAAGTCTACCCTTAGATAAATCTAGACTTTAATAGCAGTTTTACTGCAAGATTATTCTTAGAATTGCAAAATAACTTTCCATGTTTTTGCTGCTTAAATATTTCTCAAGTCTAGTTACTTCTATCTCTACCCCCCTTGTAATCACACTGGTTGTGGCCACTAATATCTCTCGCCCGGACCCACTGCAGGAGCTCCCAGCCTCTCCCGCTTCCTTCCCCCTCTATTCTTTGCACACCTGCCTTATTGGTCTTTTCAAAACCCAAACCTGATCATGCCTCATCCTGCCTCTGGGGCTTCCCATTGCTCTTACGTAAAGATCTGATTCTGTAATCCACTTACTCCAGGCCCTATCAAGTGAGGTCCCACTGATCCCCCACACCTCAGCCCATATCATCCGCCCCCAGAGGCCTCTGGACCCCAGCCACAGTGGCTTCTGCCAGTTTCTGCTGTTCCTTAAATGCTGGCAAGAGGGTTCCTCCCACCATCTCCCTCCCAGCACGCTCTTTCTCTGCCTGTTCTTCTCCTACACACCATCTAGATCCATCCAGCTTTCACTTCTTGAAAGAAATCTTCCTTGATGACTTAGATACCACAAGGGCTGTCTCTGGTACGGGGTTTCATTAGGGTTGTGATTCCTGAGGAGACCTGTGCAATTGTGGGGACAGCGGGATGGGGAAGGGAAAGAAGCCAACAAGGGTGTGGTTTTGAGTGAAGTTCCAGCCTCAGCCTGATCCCTGGGGAGCTCTGGAGTGTCCATTGCAACTCAGTTTGTCATGCTTGTGCTCAGGGCACCGGGCTTCCACATTCCTTCAATCCAGGCTGCACCTTGGGGTGCGAACTCCCAGGTACTTCTAGACTTTACATATCCAGGCGAAATGGCTACCGTGGCCAGAAGGGAGTTTTTGAAGAAGGCTGCAGGTGCCAGCCATTAGGAGCAAAGTATGCAAAGCCTGAGGGGAGGGCGCAAAGACTGGCAAATGATATGAGCAGCACGGGGTGGAGCAAGGACCACGTCTGCTACCCCTCACCTCCCAGGCCGACGCTGACATGGACACAAATGTGGCCATGATGATAACACTATGTATTGACTGCTCTTGCTGCCTCAGTTTCTCTGCTGACACTTGCTACCTATGAATTCAAAAATCCTTATCACTGCCCTGGATCTTGTTTCTCATCTGTTCTCATTCAGTGAGGTTGTTGGAATATCTTGGGCTACATCCTATGATGATTCTCCCCATTTCACACCTAGGGAAACTGAGGCACAGAGGTGCTCAGTAATCTGCTTAGAATCACAGTCGGTACATAGGGAAGCCAGGTTTGCAATGAAGATAGATTGGTTTCAGACCCTGTGGGATGCATGTCATATACCTCTCCTATATAATTCACCACGACGGCAAGTTTATATGCATTTCTGTGATTATTTGATTAACATTTCCTCCTCTTGTTCTCCCCCAGCCCCCATACATACTAGGATATAGATGGTGTAAGAGCAGGGACATGTTTATTTGGGTTTGCCCCTGTACCCAGGATGCTTGGCTTATAGATCTTAAAAGGCACTCATTAAATATTTCCCCTTTACCTGGTTGTCCTAGCTGTAATCTTACAACTGCCGTTTATGGTAACCCATAAAGCTAGGCAAATTTCTCAGAACTCGTGCCAAGTCATAAAACCTTCTCTCCAAGGTCTTCTAAATCAGCATGTCATACAGTGCCTGTCACAGGGTAAATGCTTAGTGACTCCGGGCTGTGGCAGTTGTCATCAGTAACACTCGCTGTTCAGTGCTCACAGTTTATTATGACATCTTTCCAGTCCCATTCTGTCTCCCTCAAGACTAACTCCATACTTCAGCTTCAACAAAATTTCCAGGGATATTTGTGGGAAACAAGTTCACAATCACATATATGGAATTCAGTCCAGTTGGCTTTTGTGATGTCTGAATAATTTTTTGAGAGAGAGGAAGGGAAAAATAAAAAGAGAGAAAGGATAAAATGAAGGAGGGAATGGAGAGATCAAAGGAATCCCTCAATGCTTGTGGCAGGAATTCTGCAGACCAGGTACTGCTCCGCTGGAGGGTAGGAAATTCTTTATGGGGAAACTACGTACACAGGGGATGGAGTGAGGTTGCATTATATGTACGCTTAATCCAGGCACATCCAACCATCCATGCGTGGGGGGGAAAGATGACTATGGAAAAACGTATCCCAGGTGATTCCAACAACCTCACTCAATGAGAACAGCACAGTGAGAAACGAGATCCAGCTCTGGCCTCATTTCTCATGCACATCTCAAAATGAGAGCTCCTGATGCCCTTGGTGTGGCTCTACCATCTGAGGACATAAGTGAAAGCAAGTTTGTTAGGAAAGTTAAGGAATAAAGAATGGCTGCTCCATAGGAACAACAGTGGCATGGGCTGCTTGTCTGAGTATACGTATAGTTACGTTTTGATTACATGCTAAATAAGGGGTGGGCTATTCATAAGTTTTCCGGGAAGGAGGTGGGCAATTCCCGGAACTGAGGGTTCCTCCCGCTTTTAGATCATATAGGTTAACTTCCTGATGTTTCCATAGCATTTGTAAACTGTCATGGCACTGATGGATGTGTCTTTTAGCATGCTAATGCAGGAAAATAATTTTAGTTTCTGTTTAGAGTCTTCTTGGGACTGAGGGAGAATTACCAGGACAATTAAAAAATACAGTTTACTCCATCAACCCAGTGGTCTAATCATGGGAGATTTTATGCTAAATGCTGGAAACTACAAATCCACAGATTAAATTTGATACATTTGGTTTGGTTTGAATCTAGTTGCCAAATAGTGACTTTTCTAATTCCAGCAATTTTGTGTACATTCATTCATTCACTCATTCATTTATGAGACAGAGTCTTGCTCTGTCGCCAAGCTGGAGTGCAGTGGTGCGATCTCAGCTCACTGCAACCTCCGCCTCCCGGGTTCAAGCGGTTCTCCTGCCTCAGCCTCCCGAGTAGTTGGGACTACAGGTGCATGCTACCACATCCCACTAATTTTTTTGTGTGTTTTTAGCAGAGACGGGGTTTCACTGTGTTGGCCAGGATGGTCCGGATCTCTTGACCTGGTGATCCACCCACCTCAGCCTCCCAAAGTGCTGGGATTACAGGTGTACTGTCAGGAAGAACTTATTCTTTATAATTTGTGCCTATTTAGGTTAGTGTAAGCTTGCGGATTCTTATGTTTTTCAATGGGTTGTAATTTTTAACACTATTATTATTCATTTTGATATTCAGATTGTCCCGGATTTAGCTAATGGGAGGGAGGGAAGGAGGGAGGGAGGGAGGGAGGAAGGAAGGAAGGAAGGAAGGAAGGGCAGGTGGGCAGATGGACGGACAGGCAGTGTATCAAGGTGGTTAGGAACTGAGTGGAGGCTGGGTACCATGGCTCATGCCTGTAATCTCAGCACTTTGAGAAGCCAAGGTGGATGGATCATTTGAGGTCAGGAGTTCAAGACCAGCCTGGCCAACATGGTGAAACACCATCTCTACTAAAAATACAAAAAATTAGCTGGGTCTGGTGGTGTGTGTCTGAAATCTCAGCTACTCAGGAGGCCGAAGCAGGAGAATCACTGAACCCAGGAGGTGGAGGTTGCAGTGAGCCGAGATCACTCCATTGCACTCCAGCCTGGCAACAAGAAGAGTGAAATTCTGCAAGCAAGCAAGCAATCGATGGGGAGGGAGGGGAGAAAGAAAGAAAAAGAAAGAAAGAAAGAAAGAAGAAAGAAAGAAAGAAAGAAAGAAAGAAAGAAAGAAAGAAAGAGAGAGAGAGAAAAGAAAGAAAGAAAAGAGAAGGAAGGAGGGAAGGAGAAAATAAAGGAAAAGAAAAAAGAACAGAACTGAACTGAACTGAGGGCTGGAAGGAGACAGATGGGGTTTAAATCCCAGCTCCTCCACTGTGTGGCATTGGAAAAGTGACTCTGACCTCTCTGTGCTTAAATTTTCTCATCTATGAACAGAAATCATGATCAAAACATACGCCATAAAGTTGTTGAGAGAATAAATGGAAACAACGCACTAAAACTCTTAGAAGCTGTCTGGTACATGGCGAATTTTCAGTGAGTATCAGGTATTTAAAGACGTACTAACATTTAACACTTGTGGGATGAGGTACACTGTCTCATGTTTCTGGAATCTGTGGAAAAACGGAAGTCCTGTCTGTATGGCCCCTGAACTCATAAAGCCGTCAGCTGGAGCCAGACCTTGCTGGGGCAGGGCCTGAGCTTCAGTCCCCAACACTGAGTCCTGACTCAACTTCCACCCTTTATAGCACCTTCCACATCTTATTTTCAATGTCTATTTTGCACGTCCTAAAAATCTATGACTTATTTTCCTTTGGTGTTAAGGGCATCTCGTTGTATTTCTCTAAAAAGCTGAAATGCACAAGTATCTGATTAGGACGACTAACATATTTTGAGTGTGTTCTAGGTTCTTTTCTATAACTTGTCCCAACAATTTCTCCCATGGCCTTGCCAAATTGCTGAGAATCTTCTCATTTTTCAGTTAGGCTTTCAGGAGTCTAGTATCTTGCTCAGGGAAACGCAGCAAGCAGACTTGGACTAACTCCAGTCTGTCTGACTTCCTACTTCTAATTTCCCTACTTTTCACGGTGCTCAAAGAACCTAAATGGGTCCACCAATGAATCTATCAGCAAGTATTTAGGAGAAGGCTGTTTGTTGAAAACCAAGGTGCCATTTATGATTCAGCCAAATTTGTTGAGCTTTTCCTAATCTCCTGGATTGAACATTGACCCAATAAGTGATTAATATCACTTACGCTTCTCCATGATTGTTCTGTCCTGTAGAACCTCCTTTATAAGCAATAACATATTTGCAGAACTCTTAATCATTGGGATGCCTTGCACCTGGGCTTTTCA